CCGGTTATTATAATAATTGTATTGGGGGCAACCTTTTAGACCAGATGCAGCGAGAATGACCGGCAGGCCTTTCGTTTGGGTGAAGACCGTATAGGGTATAGGCTATGTGACTCCTAGCTGGATGGAAGGCCTCTCGCTTTCAGTCCCCTTCTGCAAGGCACAGACGGCCAACTTCCACTTTCCATGATGCACCGGCACAACAGACGGTCAAATTCCGTAATTTTATATATATATATATATATATAGGGTTACCGGCGCTCCGGAAGGGCCGAACGCCCGAACCCGAACGCCCGAACGTATGGGACCCCTTCGGCAAGCGTTCGGCCGTTCGGGCCGAACGCGGACCAAAAAAAAAAAAACAAAAAAAAAACAAAGGTTTTCAAAAAAATCCGAAAAACAAGTTCATTATGGAGATAAATAAACTAAACAATATTTGCCTCGGCACTAAATCCAAATTATTTACCAAATTTGAATTAAAAATCAAATACAGAAAATAAACACTATGATAAAAATACAAAAAAATAAAAAGAGAATTAAAATGAGTGAGTGTTCCATCACCTTTTCGACACTGCCATCTTTGCCGATTTTTAATTACTTTTTGGCATTGACAAATGCCCTGAAAATTTAAAGATATGTAGTTTACATAATCAATCACTCGTTAATTTTTTTCAAAAAATAATAAAATTTTTGAGGCCCCGAAATAAAGTGAAAACAAAAAGTTAAAAGTGGAAAAAAACAAAATAGTGAGTGGACAAGCACGTTTTGACACCCCCATCTTTAACGATTTTTAATGTTTTTTTCGCTGAGCAGAATGGCTTCACAATTTATGGGCGTGTAGGTTACATCATAGAGAACTCAGAAAAAAAAATTCAGAAACAAAAACTTACTTTGAGGCCCCGAAATATTTTTTGGCGGGAGCCGAACCTGGAGGTGTTCGGCCCCCGAACGGGACCCCGAACGCCCGAACGTTCGGGGCCCAACCCGGGGGCCCCCGAACGTTCGGTCAGGTTACCCTGTATATATATATATATTTGGAAAATTAACATACATCTAATGAATATTGAAGGAATGCTTTGATTGTTGCATCTTGCTTAAAGCTATGTATGGCAGAACCCAAATGAAGAGGGCAGAGGGAAAAGGAGAGTTGGGACCGAGTTCTTTCCATAAGGTTGAAGGGGAACTGGTGCAGTCCTTCCATTGTCGACATCATTAATGAAATTGATCTGAAATGATTCAAACTTTCTGTTTCTCTTTTTCTCTTTTTTTTTTTTTTTTTTTTGAA